TTATTTGTTATTAATATTATCATCATTAGTATTATTAGTACTATTATTATCATTATTATTACTGTTATTATCATTATTATTACTATTAGTATCTTTATTATTACTATTAGTATCATTATTATTACTATCAGTATAATTATTATTACTATCAATATCATTATTATTACTATTATTATTTCCATTGTTAATTATTAATTATAATTTTCATAATAATAATTATAATAATAAACACAATTTTCATTGTGTTTTATTATAATTTTCATTATCATTTTCAACATTTTATTATTTTTATTGTATTTTTTATTATTTTTTCATTATCATTTTTATTTAGATTTTTATTGTGAAAATCATATTTTCATTTTTTATTATTGTTAGTGTTGTTATTTCCATTATTACAATCATATTTCATTATTGATATTTGCGTTATTATTTTCATGATTCTTATTATCATTACTTTCATTATTGATTTCATTATTATTATCGTTATTTGCATTATTAGTAATTCAATGTCATTATTATCATCATCATATCATTATTATTATTATTATTATTATATTATCATTATCATTATTATTATCATTATTATCATTATTATCATTATTGTTGTTGGTGTTATAATTATTATTATTATTAATATTATTATTGTTATTAATGTTATTATTATATTATTATATATTATAATAATAATAATAATATTGTTATTAGTATTATTATTTATAATATTAATAAAAATATTAGTTATTGTTGTTATTATTGCCATCATTATCATCATTATTATTATCATCATCATTAACTTATAATCACCATTATTATAATCTTAATTTTTATCATCAGTATTAGTTAGTATTATTATTGTTGTTAGGATGATAATAATAATGATAAATATGATAATAATAATAATAATATTGCTACTATTGTTGTTAACATTCTTTATCATTATTTTATCACTATTACTATTTTTATCATTATAATTTTATAATTATTATTTTATTGTCATCACTATCATTAGTATTATCACTATAATCATCATTGTTATTACCCTACTACTGATGCTCTCATTTTTATGATTATTATTATGATCATCAACTTTTTTATCACTTTTATCTTCCACCAAGATGGAAGACGCGGTTACCTGTTCGGTTTGTTCCGAAGTGTACGTAACCGGATCACGTGACCCTCTCGTGCTTCCGTGCGGCCATACCCTCTGCCGTGCCTGCGTCACTTCAGTCAAGAACGCAGCCACGGAGAAGCCCTTGACATGCCCCATCTGCCGAACCTGTCATCCATTCTTGTCAATTTATAGCCTCCCTGTCAACTTCAGTTTGCTGAGCCTGTCCACGACTTACCTCGAGAATCAGGTAGGTAGTTTCTCATTCGTTGTCAGGGTGTTTTGTATTATTTTTTGTATCAGGGTCTATCGGGATCTTTGTGGGTAATATTGTTCTTGGAGTGAGAGAACGACGGTTGTGTTCGGTTGGGCTGGTTCATGTTATATCACCGGTTGAAGAATAATAACATTTTCAGTTATTTGATAATGGTTCTTAGTGGTGATTTCCTGGCTTGTTGACATATGCACATAAACACGCATGTAATCACATATACAAAAGTAAAAGAATATATCTATATCTAGATATAGATAGATTGATAAAGACGAGTAGATAGTAATTTTCAACAACTTCTCTTGTTGAAAATTGCGATACTCATTGTTATCTTCAAACGACTCTGATGCTTTAGAATAACGAGGGCTGAACATTATGCATAACCGCTAATGTGCTTTTTACGACATTCTGCCATTTTGACACAACATAATTCGCGGAAATTTAGCAAGATTCTCCAAAGTTTCATAAATCCTTACCACAAATGCGCGACAATCATTCAGCATCTGGTTAGGTACAGCTCATTTGCTTTCCGCAGGAGGAGCACTGTGCGGAGCACGGGGAGCCCTTGACCTACTGGTGCAGGCACTGCCGAGTAGGAGTGTGCGGGCTCTGCATCCTGACGGGGCACCTCCGAGACGGGCACTCTGTGGTCACGACGGCCACCCTCTTGGAGGAGAAGAAGGAAGGCTTCGGAGCCGACGCGGCCACTGTTATCCATGCGGCGAGAGAACTTCACCAGAAAACCTCGTCTCACTTCAAGGCCGCTCTGGTGAGGCTCATGTGCCTGAGTGTGGCGAATGAAAGCCTGCTGGAGATGGAGGATACGGTCACGACGCTGCAGGAAAAGGTTCAGAAAGCCAAGAACATTGATCACATCCTTACGCACGAGGCACACCTGAAAGAACTGTTTCCAACACGGAACATAACAAACTTGTTGAGTGAAATAAACACATTTGAGAGTCGGGTTCCCATAGGCATCACCATGGAACGCCGGAACGCGTCGGCAGTGCCTGCTACTGCGCGTATCAAGCACGACTCGGGCTACACGTCGAATCGCAGCGGGTGCTCTTCGCCCTCAACCAACACTGGCACGAGTCTACGGGAGTCGCCTGTGGCCAGTG